AGGAGTTGCGCGAGTGGTTTGCCCGGCGCTGGAGCCGTGCTGCTGGAGCTGGAGGTGCTGCTGTTACTGCTGACCCTGGGATCGGCACTAGAGTTACTGGAGCCACCAGTCCTGGAGGTGCTCGAACTGGCAGTACTGGAGCTGCTGGGAGTGCTGCTGGGGCTGCTGTAGTTGGTCTTGCTGGAGGTACTGCTGAAGCTGCTAGCAGTACTGGAGCTGACGGTGCTGCTGGAGTTGGTGCTGCTGGAGCTAGAGCTGCTGGGGGTGTTGGTGCTGGTGGTGCTGCTGGCGCAGGTGCTTCTGAGGGTGCTGGAGTTGGCGCTGTGGGAGCTGGAGGTGCTGCTGGCGCTGGTGCTGCCGCTGGGGGTACAAGTGCTGTCCCTGCTGGTTCTGGAGGCGCTGCCCTTGAGCAGGTTCTTGGTCTCCCGCCCTCTACTGGTCCTGCTCCTCCCTTAGCGTGTCCACAGCCTGTCCAGTCACGGTCACAGTTACAGCCCGCCTCCCCACTACCTGCTCCTTCTCCCTACACCGTTCCCACTGGAGGTCTTGCTGAGCGTCGTGAGCCAGCGTCTCGTCCTGCATCGCCTGTTCGTGCTGCTCGCACTAGTAGTCGTGCTCCGCGTCCGCGTCCTCCTGCGGTCCCAGGCACACACCAGATGGCACTGCATCCTTCCACTGCTCCTCTGCGTGCCCCGTTGCCGTCTCCTCCAGAGTCCTCTCTTCCTGACCTTGCTGACCCGGAGTCTAACTCTCTTCGTGCTGCCAGTCCTAGTGTCACGCGTCTCCTAGCTACTGTTTTCACTGACCCTTCCTTTGAGTCCGCTGCTGCGTCTGCCTTAGTTGCTGAGCTTGTCGACTTTGCTGCTCACTGTCGTCTAGACTACGCTGCTAGTCTAGTTGCTGAGTCTGAGTCTGTCTGTCCTCCGTCCGTCGGGGATGAGTGTGCTCTTAGCACGGACGTCCTTGAGGACAGGCAGGAGGAGCTCCAGTATTTTGCTGCTGCTTTGCCTCATCTCGTGTCCACGCTGATTGCCCCTGAGGGAGACCCGGATGCACCAGACATCCCGACTCCTCGATCGTACGCTGAGGCGATCGAGGGTCCCTACTCCTCATAGTGGTAGTCAGCCATGGACGCAAAGATGGCTTCCTGGAAGTCCACACACACCTACGTCGACGAGTTTCCCCCACCTGGGGCGAACATCGTCAGTGGCATGTGGATTTTCAGGATGAAGCGGCCGCCGGGTTCTCCGCCTGTCTTCGAGGCGCGTTACGTGGCTCGAGGCTTCAGTCAGCGGCAGGGAGTTGACTACTTTCAGACCTTCTCTCCCACCCCGAAGATGACCACTCTTCGGGTGCTGATGCACATAGCCGCTCAGCGCGACTACGAGCTTCACTCTCTTGACTTCAGCACAGCTTTCCTGCAGGGCAGCGTGCGTGAGGAGATATGGCTGCGCCGCCCACCTGGCTTCACTGGGTCGTTTCCCCCTGGTACCTAGTGGAGCCTCCGGCGGCCAGTCTACGGTCTCCACCAGGCGCCCCGTGAGTGGCACGACACACTGAGGACTACTCTTGCGGCTCTTGGGTTTGCTCCTTCTACTGCCGACCTGTCGCTATTTCTGCGCACCGACACCTCTTTGCCGCCGTTCTACATCCTCGTGTACGTTGACGACTTAGTCTTTGCCACTGTTGACACTGCTGGACTAGCCCACGTGAAGTCCGAGCTGCAGAAGAGACACAGATGCACAGACCTGGGTGAACTGCGCAGCTACCTTGGCTTGCAGATCACCCGGGACAGAGCACGGTACACCATTACCCTGACTCAGTCACACATGGTGTAGCAGGTCCTTCAGCGCTTCGACTTCACGTACTCCTCGCCTCAGGCCACTCCTCTGTCTACTCGCCACTTGCTCTCAGCTCTGCCTTCGGATGAGTCCATAGAGCCGAGTGGCCCGTACCCAGAGCTTGTTGGCTGCCTCATGTACCTGATGACCTGCACTCGACCTGACCTTGCATACCCTCTTAGCATCTTGGCACGCTATGTTGCTCCTAGGAGACACAGACCTGAGCACGTGGCTGCAGCGAAGAGGGTGTTGTGCTACTTGTGCAGTACGTCGGGCATGGGGCTAGTGCTTGGAGGGCGACGTCCACTGGTCCTCACAGGTCACGCAGACGCTTCTTGGGCTGACGACAAGGCCACGCAGCGGTCGTCACAGGGTTACACCTTCAGCCTTGGCTCCGGCTCTATTTCGTGGCGGTCTACCCGCTCGTCTTCTGTTCTCGGCTCCAGCTGTGAGGCTGAGATCTACGCGGGGGCCATAGCTGCACAGGAGCTACGCTGGCTCACCTACCTGCTGACTGACCTAGGAGAGCCGCCTCGTTCTCCTCCAGTTCTGTACGTAGACAACAAGGCCATGCTGGCCTTGTGTCGGGAGCACAGAGTGGAGTACAGAACGAAGCACATTGCTCTTCACTACTTCCTTGCTCGTGAGCTGCAGCAGCGTGGTCAGCTGCGCCTTGCTTACATGGCCTCTGAGGCCAACACTGCTGATATCTTTACCAAGGCACTTCCGCCTTGTGATCATCAGCGCTTCTGTACGATGCTAGGTCTTGTGCCTACTTGGCCTTACTTGCTCACTTCTTGACCTTACTTGTACTGTGATCTTTCTATAACTACACTTGTCTGTTTACCTTTATATATGATCTTGCATGTGAACAAGCCTTATGGCCTTTGAACTTGAGCTCAAATGTGTGGTGACGTTGTGATCCACCCTGAGCTTGCTTTGCTTTGCTTGACTGGTCTTGTGACCTCTTGTTCTCCCCCACTTTGCCTATGGGGGTGTGTCAAACTCATATGCTATAGTCTTTGTAGGCTGTAGTGGGGTAGACAATATGGGGTACAACACTTTTTGGTTTCCTACTTGTACCCACCTGCTTGCTAGTTTATTCATTCCTCATTTCTTCAGACCTATTTTATTACGTTTGGTCACAAGGGTATCACAATCAATCACAGTACAGTAGATTTCTATCGCGGATGATCGTAGTGCTATCACGGATTGTCACACCCCCTCCCTGAAAAGCTATCACGTTAGGTCACTCAATGAAACGATCATAATTAATTTGAAACCACGAAAGAAACAGTACAGCTTTTGGGAAATCCCAACCATTATTGCTTGTTACCTCGCGCATTATTCTAGCCTTGACATTTTAGGGAATTGAAGAAAAAAATTCAAACCCCTATTGGATGGCATGTCCTTCGGGAGGCATCAACCTTAAACACTATGCGACAATGTGTTTAGGGTTGATGCTCCCGAATTATATTTCATCCGAATGGGTTTTAGTTTTGTATTGGGAACAAATATTAACCCTAGAGTTTTATCCGTCTAAAACTGATATTCTTAGGGACATTATGCATCGATTGAACAGTGGACTTTCGATAGTAAAGAAGAAATTGCAGATGTTTTTAACAAGTTACCAAGAGTTGTCGCGAAACTTTTTCGTAATACTACGGACAAAACGGCGCGCGCGATAAAATTTCCCCTGAATCTCTACAGTGACTCGAGTAGTTACAATTCTCGATTGGGCGTTTCATCCGTGACCAAATGTGATAGACTTGCGGGGCAAGGTGTCACTATCCGTGATAGCATTGTGATCACTCGCGATAGTTACGAGGTCTACTATGACTGTTCGTGATACCCCCGTGACCAAATGTGAAATATCGGGCCTAACTGTGACTACCCACATAATCTCCCTAAAACCTACTTTCTAGGGTTGCACAGAGTGAGGGGATGCTATGGAATCGGGTGGTACATGGGTGTGCTTAGTAAACTCCACCGCTACTCATCTGGAAGTGCCTACAGATATCGAGGAACTCCACCGTGTACTAGCAGTTTCTGAGGAAAAAACAGAAATTCCGAGAATCGGGCGTGTAAGCTGTAGTAGAAACCAGGGGAGCACCGTCGGATCAGAGGGGCGCCATGCGGCGATTTTATCGAACTGCGCCGACCGATTTTTCTACAGTCAATGCTGAAAGGAACCGCACCGAACAGCATCATGGCATCGCATGGCATCGGAGCATTTTCGACGCCCAACATCATGCCGCCCACATCCCAATGGGCAGATAATTTCGACATAGGATGGGAGGGGCGGCGGAGGGGGCGCCACACACCTACCTTTGTTTCCAAGCTACAGGATCGAGTAATCACACTGCTGTTCATGCTTTAGTCGAGCAACGTCCCTTCCCATTTTCGAGGGCCGCGTTTTGTCAAGCGTTACCCGAGCCAGGCGCAGGGCATGCTAACTAACTAGTACGTGGATGGGTAGTGTTGATGAACGCATTTTGTAGAATCGAGAAGCCTCCGCACGGCGCTATCATGCGAGCGCCCCTCGCCGCCCCGCAGCGCGCCGCGCACGAACGCGCCCCGAAGAGAACAGCCGTGTCAGTGCAACAAACAACTACTGCGGGTGATTCGGCCTCTGCGGGGCGACAGTGGCGCAGGGTGAGAGTGGCGCGACGTGTTGCCACCATGCTCCCAAGGATAAAAGTGGCGTCAAATGCTAGGGTAGGTCACAACTGAACCCGTTGTTTCGTCCGCGACAGCGTACTAGGAGCTCCTCGCAGCAGACAGTAGTTGTAGTGGTGATTCTCGCCCTGATCATTCCTGCGCTATGGCGCGGCTTCGCGTTCTCGGCTTGGCTTCTGTTGTGATTCTCGTTCTGCTCTGCCAGAGTGGTAAGCCCACCTCCTCCCGCTGATCATTTTTCACTCTCACTCAGTCTTGCTCCCGCATTCCTTCCACCTCGCGGAAGCATCATGCTCAAGTATCCCGTCAGCAAACGAGAGCCTGCGTACTATCCCGCCGAGGATCTCTCGTTATTCGCCAAGCTCTTGATCTCTCGTTTCTGATCGCAGGTTTAGAGGCGGTGCGCTTTTGAGGCAACTCAAACGCTCTCTCACCAACTTCCTCCTCTCGCCTCGTGCGTCGTTATTCGTGTGTCCGCAGTTTCAGAGGCCGTGCGCCTGGGGCCCAGTAGCAGCACGACCACTACCGTCAACGCCACCGCCACTGCCGGCAACGGGACGACCAATGCTGCCAGCAATGCCACCAGCAGTGGCGGCAAGGCCACTCCCATCAAGCCTGCCAGCACCAGCAAACCCTTGGTGCGTGTCCATGATACGTGCGTGTGAGCCCAAAGCTGCGCGAGCAAGCCTGTGACTTCCCTGAAACGCACTCGTAGTGGGGAAACGCCTCCAGTACGCGAGTGAGTTAATCATGATACCATGGGCCTCTCCTTTAGGAGAATCATGGGTTTGAAGCATTGACGCGTCTGTTGAAGCATTGGCGCGTGCAACTCTGTGGTGACTATCAAAGTAGGTTAGCCGGCGTCAGTCCGGTGCGGCCATCGCGTTACTTTTCATTTCTCACTTCCCTGGACGTACCTGTTTTTCAAGTACCTAAACAACAACCTTTTCTTTCCCACTGCCCGTTTCTATTACAGCGCAAAATGTATCGTTTCCCATTCGCTTTGGGAGAAACTTGGGGCAAGAGGAGCGATCCCTGTATGTGGGATATCATTCGTACGTCTCTCTTATCTCTCCCCCTGCACTCCCTCTCTTTCTTTTCTCCCCCCTTGCACTCCCTCTCTCTCTTATCTCTCCCCCTGCACTCCCTCTCTCTCTTGTCTCCCCCTGCACTCCCTCTCTCTCTTATCTCTCCCCCTGCACTCCCTCTCTATATTATCTCTCCTCCTGCACTACTTCTCTCTTATCTCTTTTTCTCGCGCTCCCTCTCTTTTTATCGCTCCCCCAACACTTGCTCTCATCGTGTCCAGTTCCGTTATGTACTTGGCTCCTTAGTGTTTGGCAACCAGGGGTTTGTTCCATACAGAATGTTGGTAGGATTTAACCATAAGGGCACACTCTCTGTCTCCTTCCCATCCATCTCCTTCTCCCTTCCTCACTCCCATTCTCCCGCTGATCGTGTCCAATTGCCATGATGTACTTTCACTCTCCCTCTGATCATTAACCAGTGTTTGAGAGTGCGGGCGTCCTTCCCGATAAGCAGTTGTTTCAGTTTGAAACCCAGGAAGCCTATGAGAATTGCAACTACAAGCGTGCCACACTTCTGCAAAAATTCTCTAATTATGGAGAAGTATACCGGTGAGTAGGATCTCTATGTTCCGCTCGTTTTGCACTTATCCTTTGAAAGGTTGCTTCACTGATGTTCACTCTTGATGGAAGCTATGGTGTGGCTTTGCTTGAGTTTCGCAGCTTCGATGTGCCGTGCACCATGGGTGAAGACCATCTCTATTTCGGCCCCAATGAATGGATGTGCCGTTTTATGAAGTTCAAGGTGAAGATTCCTATTGGGTCTTATTCGCCTGGTGGTGGCTAGTCAGTCGAGGTGCCTGTGGTGCGATGTGAACCAAGTCATGCGGTAGTCCCTTGTTACTGAAATGAAATGTTGCCTTGTCTATTATGAGTTCTAAAAGAGAGTGCGTGGAATAACGAATAATGAAGATGTGACTCAATGAATTGACAATACAATGAAGGCACGGCCTAATAAAGAGGGTCAACCTAGCTAGGCAGGAACCTCAGGAACGCGAGGTTGGGTGCAGGTTGGGCAAAGGGATGCCGAAGGCGACGCGAGGTTGCTTCGGCAGCAAGCAAAGTTCTACGCGGTTGAGGTTGAACGTGCACTTCAGAAAGTTGGGGTATTTGTTACATGTCACGCGGTTGAGGTTGAACGTGCACGCGAGGTTAGACATGTCACAAAATAAAGTGTCACAAATGTATTTGTTACTAATTGTGACACTCTGAAACAGGGCCCTAGATATCAGACTTTGGAGTCTGATTCATCTCAGAAGTACGAAACAAGAATGATGGACTAGAATGACAGTTGGGTACAAATAGGTCAAAACCTAACCCTAGAATTGTGTACCCCCTATAGGCTAACCCACTGTAGCCTAAACTAACACAACATATATAATGTTTGACACACCCCCAGAGGCAAAGTGGGGGAGATCTAAGGGTCACAAGACAAGCTCAGGGTGGATCTCAAGGATACCACACAAATTCTGAGCACAAGCAAGCGGTCACAAGACCAGTTCACATGCAGGTTTGTCAAAATCTTAGCTAGGCTAAGGAGCCATAGCTAGTTAGGAGTTCGAGTAAGTTTGAAAAATATCGAGAGGAAAGAGGAAGTTGAAAAGAGAAGAAGGGTTTTCACTATAGAGCGAGCAGTACATATAGGCAAGATTGAAGAAAGGCAAATGGTACACCACCTAGCAGGAAACTAAGATAACTACAGTAGGCTACTGTAGGCATTTATATGAAAGTATGCAAATACATTTCAACACACCCCCTAAATGCCTACAGTGGAAACCCGTGTGTAGCACAAAGTCTGCAGGGGTACAAGCAGTAGTAGCTGGAAGTGGTGACAACCAGTGCAGAAAGAAGAGAGAACAGAAGGGAGAGAGGAGGAATGAGGAGGCGGCTGCGGCTGGTGCTGAAGCCACGCTCCCACCACCCCCTCACCCTCCCCCTCCCCCTCCCCCTCCCCCTCCCACTGCTGCAGGAGCAGCAGAGGGGGGGGGGGGGCAAACAGAGGAGGATGGGGCCGTAGGGCCAGGGGACCACACATCACCCATCACCCCCACACCCGCCACCCCCAGTCCCTCCCCGGGCTCCCCACAGTCTCACACCCTCCCCCCCAGCGGTAGCTGCAGCAGAGGGAACAGAAGGAGGAGGAGAAAGGGGGGGGGGGAAGGGGGGGTGGGGGGCCGACGCACGGCCTCCCCGGGCGCCAAAGCAAGCGGCAGAGGGGGCGACGACTCCCCCCCCCTTTCAGGTCGCCCCTCCCGTCACTTGTCGAGGCGACCTGAGGGGGCCGCTAGCGGCCCCCGAAGGAGCCGCGACAGGTGACGGGAAGAAGGGGGGGGGCGGGACCGCAAGTGGGCGACGGGGCCGCAAGGGTGGGCGGGGCCGCAGGTGGCGACGGGGCCTCAGTTGGCGGGGCCGCAGGCGACATCGGGGCCGGGGCCGAGGTGTACGCGGGGCCGACGAGGTGTACGCGGGGTCGACGAGGGGTACGCGGGGCCGACGAGGGGTACGCGGGGCCTACGCGGGGCCGACGAGGGGTACGCGGGGCCTACGCGGGGCCTACGTGGGGCCGACGAGGGGTACGCGGGGCCTACGCGGGGCCGACGAGGGGTACGCGGGGCCGACGAGGGGTACGCGGGGCCTACGCGGGGCCGACGAGGGGTACGCGGGCCGACGAGGGGCCTAAGCAGGGGCCGACGAGGGGCCTAAGCGGGGCCGACGAGGGGCCTAAAAAAAAAAGGAATAAAAGCAGGACGGCGGGGCCGCGACAGTAGGGCGGCGGGGCCGCGACAGTAGGGCACACCACGGGGCGTGCAGAACACTTAGTAGCAGCGGAAGCAGGGGTCCAGGAGCGTTACGTGCTCTGTACCATGTCAAAATCTTAGCTAGGCTAAGGAGCCATAGCTAGTTAGGAGTTCGAGTAAGTTTGAAAAATATCGAGAGGAAAGAGGAAGTTGAAAAGAGAAGAAGGGTTTTCACTATAGAGCGAGCAGTACATATAGGCAAGATTGAAGAAAGGCAAATGGTACACCACCTAGCAGGAAACTAAGATAACTACAGTAGGCTACTGTAGGCATTTATATGAAAGTATGCAAATACATTTCAACACAAGGTTTATAATAGAGCAAAAGGTACAATGATCACAACCTAACAAGAGTAAACATGCAGGTATATATATATACATCACAGTACAAACAGACTCAAGAAGTAAGCAAGTGAGGTCCAGTAGGCACAAGGCCTAGAAGAGTGCAAAAGCGCTGATGGTCACAAGGCTGAAGCGCCTTGGTGAACACATCAGCAGTGTTGGCCTCAGAGGCCACGTAACGCAGGCGAAGCTGACCACGCTACTGCAGCTCTCGAGCAAGGAAGTAACGCAAAGCAATGTGCTTCGTTCTGTGCTCCAGTCTGTGCTCCTCACACAAGGAAATGGCTGCCTTGTTGTCGACGTACAGCACTGGAGGAGAATGAGGCTGCTCTCCAAGGTCGGTCAGCAAGTAGGTGAGCCAACGTAGCTCCTGAGCCGCCATGGCTGTGGCGTAGATCTCAGCCTCACAACTAGAGCTGAGAACAGAGGAAGAGCGAGTAGAACGCCAAGAAACAGAACCAGAGCCAATACTGAAGGAGTAACCCTGAGACGACCGCTGAGTAGCCTGGTCGTCTGCCCAAGAAGCGTCTGAGTGCCCAGTGAGAACAACTGGGACTCGCCCTCCAAGCACTAGCCCCATGCCCGACGTACTGCACAAGTAGCGCAACACCCTCTTAGCTGCATCCATGTGCTCCTTCCGGTGACGGCCGGGAGCGACATAGCGTGCAAGAATGCTGAGAGGGTATGCAAGGTCTGGTCGAGTGCAGGTCATCAGGTACATGAGGCAACCCACAAGCTCTGGATACGGGCCACTCGGCTCTACGGACTCATCCGAAGGCAGAGCTGAGAGCGAGTGACCGGTAGGCAGAGGAGTGGGCTGAGGCGAGGAGTACGTGAAGCGGAAGCGCTGAAGGACCTGCTGCACCATGTGTGACTGAGTCAAGGTGATGGTGCGGCGTGCTCTGTCCCGGGTGATCCGCAAGCCAAGATAGCTTGTCAGTTCACCCAGGTCTGTGCACGTGTGTCTCTTCTGCAGTTCTGACTTCACGTGGGCGAGTGCCACAGTGTTAGCAGTAGCAAAGACCAAGTCGTCGACGTACACAAGGACGTAGAACGGCGGCAGTGAGGTGTCGGTGCGTAGAAACAGCGACGGGTCAGCAGTAGAAGGCGCGAACCCAAGAGCCGCAAGCGTAGTCCTCAGTGTGTCGTGCCACTCACGAGGCGCCTGGCGGAGACCGTAGAGTGGCCGTCGGAGGGTCCACTGGGTACCAGGAGGGAACGACCCAGTGAAGCCAGGTGGACGGCGCAGCCAGATCTCCTCGTGCAAGCTGCCCTGCAGGAAAGCAGTGCTGAAGTCAAGCGAGTGGAGCTCGTAGTCACGCTGAGCGGCGACGTGCAGCAGAACCCGAACAGTGGTCATCTTCGGGGTCAGGGAGAAGGTCTGGAAGAAGTCAACTCCCTCTCGCTGACTGAAGCCTCGTGCAACGTAACGCGCCTTGAAGACAGGCGGAGAGCCCGGCGGCCGCTTCACCCTGAAAATCCACATGCCACTGACGATGTTCGCCCCAGGTGGGGGAAACTCGTCGACGTAGGTGCCAGTGGACTTCCAGGAAGCCATCTCTGTGTCCATGGCTGACTGCCACTGAGAGGAGTAGGGACCGGCCATTGCCTCTGTGTTAGAGCGTGGGGTCGGGATGTCTGGTGCATCCGGGTCTCCCTCAGGGGCAACAAGCATGGACACGAGATGGGGCAAAGCGGCAGCAAAGCACTCAAACTCCTCCTGCCTGTCCTCAAGGACGTTAGTGCCAAGAGCACACTCACCCCCGACGGACGGAGGACAGACAGACTCAGACTCAGCAACTAGACTAGCAGCGTAGTCTAGACTACAGCGAGCAGCAAAGTCGACAAGCTCAGCAACTAAGGCGGACGCAGCAGCAGACTCAAAGGAAGGGTCAGTGACAACAGTAGCCAGGAGACGCGTGACAAGAGGACTGGCAGTACGAAGAGAGTCTGACTCAGGGTCAGCAAGAGCAGGAAGAGAAGAAGTAGGAGGAGACGGCAGTGGGACACGCTGTGGAGCAGTGGACGGACGAAGTGCCATCCGGTGAGTGCCTGGGACAACAGGAAGACTCTGACGCGGGACACGACTGCTAGAGAGAGCAGGGCGGACAGGTGACGCAGGGCGAGACTCAGGCTCACGACGCTCAGTAAGACCTCCAGTCGGACCAGTGTAAGGAGCAGGAGCAGGGAGAGAGGAGGCAGACGGTAGCTGAGACTGCAGCTGGACAGACGGAGGACACGCTAAGGAGAGAGTAGGACAAGGAGGAGGGAGCTCACCAAGAACCTGCTGCAGGAGCGGAACGAAGTACGGGCGGGACCGAGCAGCGACACTAGAGTCAGGAGGAACACTCGCCCCAGGGTCCGCAGCAGCAGCGGCAGCTCCACCACCCGGGTCCTCAGCACCAGCGGCAGC